CTGCCTGGCGGGGACCGAGGGGCCCGATGACCCCTCGGAAGGCCCCGCTGTCGCCTGGCCCGCCCACCTCGCTAGGGCGACCCGCACCCCGGGGGCGCCCGCCGGGCCGCCGCGGGGTGCGCCCCTGGAGTTGAGTGATCCTCGGGCGTTTCCTTCGCCTTGGGAGGCAAGCCGGTGGTCTCCCTCGGTCTTCTAAAATATGCTGGGTTGACGTCAAATCCAGAAATGAGGCCTTGGCGCAGGCACCCTGTGCCCCAGGGAAATCTGAAGCAGCTGGCCGAAGGAGACCAAATGGTGGAGGAGAAGGTTAGGGAGGCCGAGGGTGGGCAGTTGAGGACTCTTGCTTTGGGCGGTTTGCTCACCAGCCAGTCTGTGTGGATATTTTTATTTTAAGCATTTTGCGTTGACTTTCCAAGCCTTCGATTAAAATTTTCCTACAGCCAAACCGTAAGGCTGCAGATAGACACAAGGGAATTCTTTGTGTAGCAGATCGCCCAGCTCTTGCATTTTATCGTAACCTAGGACATGCCGTGTACACCATTGCGTGTCAGACTCTAACATACCTGAAGAAGAGTTCAAAGATACAGCTGCCATCTTTTCCTTAGCTATCAGAGGAGTCACTCCAAAATAAGACATGAAGGAGCCTAGGTTCATAGACTCAGCCTCCATGAGCTTTGTTGCTAGATTGAAATTTTAAATCCTCAGTGAAGAGTTGATTGTCACAGTTTTGGAGGACTTCACATTTGCCTTGTTTCTTTCCATAGGAAAAGAATAATGCTGTCAGCATGTCTGCACATTCCATGCTCTGTGAACGAATCGCCATAGCCAAGGAACTTATCAAGAGAGCAGAATCACTTTCTAGATCGAGAAAAGATGGCATAGAAGGTGGTGCAAAACTGTGCAGCAAATTGAAGGCAGAATTAAAATTCTTACAGAAAGTAGAAGCTGGGAAAGTAGCTATTAAAGAATCCCACTTACAAAGCACTAATCTAACACACCTGAGAGCCATTGTGGAATCAGCAGAAAACCTGGAGGAAGTTGTTAGCGTCCTTCACGTCTTTGGTTACACAGATACCTTGGGAGAAAAGCAAACCCTTGTGGTGGATGTAGTGGCAAATGGTGGTCATACTTGGGTCAAAGCCATTGGCCGAAAGGCTGAAGCGCTGCATAACATCTGGTTGGGCAGGGGCCAGTATGGTGACAAAAGTATCATTGAGCAGGCCGAAGACTTCCTTCAAGCCAGTCACCAGCAGCCAGTGCAGTACAGCAACCCCCACATCATCTTTGCCTTTTACAACAGTGTGTCCAGTCCCATGGCAGAGAAGCTGAAAGAAATGGGCATATCAGTGAGAGGAGACATCGTCGCAGTCAACTCTCTGCTAGATCACCCTGAGGAGCTCCAACTGAGTGAGAGCGAATCGGATGACGAGGGCCCTGAACTTTTGCATGTGACCAGAGTAGACAGAGAAAATATACTGGCAAGTGTTGCGTTTCCGACGGAAATTAAAGTTGATGTTTGCAAAAGAGTAAATCTGGACATTACTACTTTAATCACATATGTATCTGCCCTCAGTTATGGAGGCTGCCACTTTATTTTCAAAGAAAAAGTGCTCACAGAACAAGCAGAGCAAGAGAGGAAAGAGCAGGTTCTACCCCAGCTGGAGGCATTCATGAAGGACAAAGAATTGTTTGCTTGTGAATCTGCTGTCAAGGACTTTCAGTCTATTCTAGATACCTTAGGAGGACCTGGGGAGAGAGAGCGGGCTACTCTGCTAATTAAGCGAATTAATGTGGTGCCAGACCAGCCTTCTGAGCGTGCCTTGAGACTAGTGGCCAGTTCAAAAATTAATAGCCGCTCGTTAACAATTTTTGGGACAGGGGATACCCTAAAAGCCATCACGATGACTGCCAATAGTGGTTTTGTCAGAGCTGCAAACAACCAGGGTGTTAAATTTAGTGTGTTTATCCATCAGCCCAGAGCACTTACTGAGAGTAAAGAGGCTGTAGCCACCCCCTTACCACAAGACTACGCAACCGACAGTGAACACTAATGATATCCTTTAAATATTGTCTTGGAAATAAGTTATTTAAACCAAAGGCTGGATCTTCCCATCTAAACTGGGGAGGAAATGTCTCTTTTAAAAATAATACTTAGAACTCTTAAACCAGTAGAGTTTTTTTGTGTCTCATCTATATTTAAAGTACATAGCCCCCCAAAGTAGAAGCAGCACAGGAGACAGAACTGTCTACATTAGTGCAATTAAGAACGGAAACACATCTGTATGTCTTTTGACTATATTGTAATACTTTGGTTTGTTTGATTCAGTAGGGCTGCAGCCCCCTACACATTTCATGGAATATGGCTATCCCCCTGTGTCTTGAATTAAACATCTGGAGAAAACTCTGAAGCCTGGTTTTCATTGTATTGGTTTATGTGGCTGGGAGGTAATAATTTATAATTAATTTTAGATCCTGAGGTTCATGGCCATTAATGAAAATCAACTTATTTGATTGCTATATGTCACATGCAGTCTGTTAGGGATGTTTAGTAGGAGTACATAAAACAGGAGAAATGAAAATAAAGTGCCTTCTGATCATGCGAGTGCCATGAATCTATTGACATAGCTTTGTGAAAAGAAAGCTGTCAATTTTACTACTATAAAATAAACCTAGGATACTTAAGGTAAGTACTCATTTAAGTGAATTGAAAAATAATTGTATAGGACATTTAAAAAGAATTCACAGTTTAAAGTTCAAATAGTCCCCATACTGCAAGTATTTGCATAATGAATACTATCTTTCATGCTCCGTTTGCAAGTGGCAAGTGACAACTGTATTACCTCAGTTTCATGAAATGGTGATGGGAGATTCCATGCCAATTGTATGCACAAGTTTTAATTAAGAATACATTCCTATGGCCACATTGCACAAAGTGCTGGATTAGTTCTCAACAAAACAGAACAAGTTGGTAAACATGTATTCACATTTTAAAAACTGACAATTTGAGTATTGTACCTTACGTATTAATCTATGCTAAGTGTGGGAGCCAGTATCAGAACTTCATTTTGTGTAGACACAGCGTGATCTCTAGCTACCGTGCCAACTTTCCTATTTTGTGAGAAAGAAATCTCAATTTCCAGCCACATTATTGAGAGGTAGAATTTGGTTTTGGGGTGTCCATGAACACTCTGAAATAAATGCAAAATTAAGTCTATGGGGGTGTTCTTTGGGGGAGAGATTCTATTACTAAGAACACATTTCCTAGTGGAAAGGCTGTTATTGGTCTTCCAATTTAGTGTATAGAGATATATTGTCTGGTGTAGAAATTGAATGTAAGCTTTTTTGAGCACCTGTGAAGGTACTAGTAAGTGCCAAGCATTATAATAGTTTAGTATGAAAAGATGAATATTTGCTCTAAGAAATTTTTAGTCAGAAGTGGAGTTAAGCAACAGAAGTGCAATTGGTGTACTAAATTCTATAAGTTGTGGTTTGTTTTTGTTTTCTTTGAGTCAAGGTTTCACTCTGTCACCCAGGCTGGAGTACAGTGGCACAGTCATGGCTCATGGCAGCCTCCAGCTCCTGGGCTCAAGTGGTCCTCCTGAATCAGCCCCCCAAAGAGCTGGTATAGGCATGTGCCATGCCCAGCTTTTTTTTTTTTTTTTTTTGGTAGAATTGAAGTCTCACTATGTTGCCTAAACTGGTCTCAAACTCCTGGGCTTGAGCAATTCTGCCTTGGCCTCCCAAAGTGCTGAGAAGACAGGCATAAGCCGCTGCATCTGGCTTAAGTTGTGTTTCAAATATTGTGAGGACACAGTAAGGGAGTATGTCTTACTATTAGACTAGGTAGCCAGAAAGGAAGTGACATTTGAAGGTTTGAGGTGTGAGATTTTGCAGGGTGTGTTAAGGGAGAAAGGGTACTCAGAAGTACAAGGGAGTTGGATTGGAAAAGTACAGTGTGTATGCGAGAGCCTGTTCAGATGCCAGGGTCAAGTTTATAGAATGGGATGAAGCTAGAGAAGCAGTTGAAGTTCTCTAGAGTGTGACATTAGAAAGCCATTGGTGATTTTTAAGAAAGGGTGGCTTGTAATCAGGTTTCTTTTTTTTGAGTTGGAGTCTCACTCTGTCGCCCAGACTGGAGTGCAGTGGCCGCTCCCGGCCACCACAGCCTCGACCTGCTGGGCACCAGCGATCCTTCCCCCTCAGCCTTCCAAGTAGCTGGAACTACAGGCGCGCGCTACCACACCCGGCTAATTTTTTTGATTTTTATTGTAGAGATGAGGTCTTGCCAAGTTGCCCAGGTGGGTCTTAAACCCGCAGGCTCAGGCAATCCACTCACCTCGGCCTCCCAAGGCACCATGATCCACAGAGCCCAGCTGTGATCTGGTTTCTTAAAGCAACAAAAACCTGAAGTGAGGAGGAAGAATTGAAGGAAAGGTGGAACAGTAATGGCCTTGGCTAGAGCAGGAATGATGGACAGTAGAGTCATGGATATGGATATATGCATATAAGGTAGAATTGACATTAATGTACTCATTCATTCATTTGATAAAAACACTTACTGAGTGTCTGTTGTGTGCCAGACACAGTAGGAATGGCTGGACATATATAAAAGGCTTCCTTCCAAGGAGTAGAAGGAAGAAGGTAGATTTCTATCCCTGTTCACTATAAATCAACATCTGAGAACTTGAAATCTTTGCCAGCTAGAAAGTGGACAGGCCACAGCACTCTTTGAGGAGACTTCTTTCAGACATGACCACAACTGTGACCCCACCAGAGACCATTATCTTTATCCAGGCATTCAGTGATTACAATTCCTAGCAACAGAGAATGCAAGCAATAGATATGGGCAAGTAGCAGGGCAAAGGATCCTAGAATATAGGAAATACTACCTTCTCCAGAAACCACACACACGACCTACACCATACCCCAAAGGCCTACTGCAACTGACCAAAACAATTCCATTCATAAAGGTTAGAAAAAAAGGAATTAAAAAACATGAGGGAAGATATAAAAGGAATGTCCAGTTAAATGCCAGTTAAAAGCTGTCAAGTCAAAGGAAATTATGTAGTTATAAAGTAGAGCAAGTGTTCAAAATATTGAGAGTGGAGACATGTAAAAGTACAAGGGAGTTGGACATGTAAAGAACTGTGATGCCTGGGTTGGGAAAGTAAAAGCATGTTAAAAATTCTCATCTTATTTAGAAGGGAGTTAACAAACATTGACATTTTGCCATTGAAAAATAGAGCTATCTAATTTTAGGTATCAAACAAGAAATGTCACTTATTCCGTAGCTTAAACTGAGCTGAATAGCTGAATATATTTCAAATGAGGGGTAAAGATGGAGAATAAATGTAGTCCACGCAGAAAAAGATAAGTCAAAAGAGTTCTTAAGGAGGCATAAAAACCAGAAAGCATAAAATAAGAACACTAACTACAAGCCCAAGAAGGATATAAAACAGCTTTGGAAAAGAGTAATTATAGGAGAGATATATATATACCATTTTGATAAAATTGAAGCATGATTTTCTTAGAAAATGTAAATTAGAAAAAGCCTGAACAAGCAGTAACACTGAAAATTTTTTAAAGGAGTTAAATAATTTCCTCCAAAACGTGGAGGTCCAGTTAACTTTATTACATACATTTTTTTCTTACTTTTAACATCAAATAATCTCCTTGCTCTAAGGAGTAATAAGGAGTGCAACTGCATATGAGGGGCTGAAATATCTAACATGTTTGAGAATCAGGCCTGGGTGAAGAATCCCACGGGTTGTTTCCTAATTCGTGTAACAGCAGGATGGCTGTCCCAGGTCATCGCTGTATTGGAAAAGTTTTCAAGTTCATTTTACAGAATGCGAGCATAACTCTTACTAAAGTCTGATAAGATGCTATAAAAAAAAAAGCTGCAGCAAAATTTCAGTTTAAAAAGATACAAACAGTTCAGATACAATGGCATTACTGATAAAGTGGATTCAAGGCCGAGAACACCTCACCCTGTGGGAATCTTGTTCCTGAGAAGAAAAATGGAGGGTAAGTTCCCAACCTTCATAGTAGCGACTTGGGGATTAACCTCCATGCTGGGGTGCAATTGGAGGCATAAGGCCTCCCTGAGGTAAAGAGGCAACCCCAGGACTCCTGCATGAAACTGGAACCTTTGAAAGGCTACAGCCCTCATGAAAGAGGATTTTGTAATCTTTGCCCTGGGACACAGCAAGGAACTTTGAGTCTACTGGTTCTGAGTGGAAGAAAAAAAAAAAAAAAAGAATTCTGAAAGAAATCAAAGCCCAGTCTGTGCTCTACATAGAGTCCAAATCCTTTAATAGCATGATGGGGGAAACCCAGGGATGTGAAATTAGTATAAAAATTTGCTCAGGCAGGAACTGTCTCTCAGCCACCTGACGGAAACACACACAACTTCATTTTGGACTTGGGGACACTTTAGTTTTCCAACTACACAGATTCCAATAGAAAAACTAAGCTTTGATTAGATGAGCATACAGTGAGAAATTGTAAAAACGTAGGGGGAAACCTTCCACCACCAGTGAATCAGCAACAAGGAGAACTTGAGATAATAGCAAAATGTGTTTAAAAAAATAGAATATAAAAATATATATCATAGCAAGTTATATAGTTAGTTTGGGATCGTCAAAATATTCCCCATCTATGTTCTGTTAAAAAAATAAAAAGCAATTCAAAGTGGCAGATGGAGGCTAAAATACCACCTGCAAGGAAACATTGCACACAGCTGAGTTGAAGGATGGTTTCTATTTGCAGCAAGTATGCTTCCTAATACTAAACTCCATAATAGGGCAGACGTTACCCATCTAGTTACAGGTAGTTCTGGGGCATGAAATGGGGACAGTTCGCACCAAAAGAGCTGCAGAGAACATACCGCTCTGTGGGAAGCTTGTTCCCAAAAGGAAAAACAGCAGCGATAAGCCAAGCATTCAGGTGCTTCTCTCAAACTTGCATTCAGGTAGATTTATCTATATTTCCAGAAGGAGAAAAAGGCCAGGAGTGTACTGGGGAATATAATTCCCATGCCCCCACCATCATGCAAATAAAAGTGGGAAAAAGTTGTTTCCCTCTTCACATAAAAAATGATAAGAAGATATAAAAGAAGGCATAGAAACCACAAAGAAAGAATGCACGCAAACAAAACCTCTGGAAATAAAAAAAACTCTCACTAAAATTAAAATCTCAACAATAAAATAGTAGATGAGACAAAAGTAAATTAAAAATTCTCTGGCCATGTGGCAGCTTATGCCTGTAATCCCAGCACTTTGGGAGGCTGAGATGGAAGGACTGCTTGAGCCCAGGAGTTTGGAACCAGTCTAGGCAACATAGTGAGACCTTGTCTCTACAAAAAATCGAAAAATTAGCTGGGTGTGGTGATGTGCACCTGTAGTCC